CAATGGCACGTCAAGGGATAAGTTAATCTCGCAAACAAAAGATGGATTAATTGGACATCAAATGCAATGAGTATGGAAGGAACTGTACACAAACACAATTGATGAACCAAATCAGCCAATACACCGATTATTCTTCCATGCTAGCTGTCTACTATGATTTAATAACCATATACTTCACAAACAATCAATTTACAAGTACCTTTACACTGACAAACATACACATACACAAGGTACGAAGTACTCCGTATATGGGTAAATTGTACTCTAAAACACACAATTTGTTTTTTTTATTACCTTAAACTCTTAATGACATAAATTTGCTTCAAAATCAGGATAACTACGCTACCATTCTTCGGATACAAAAAAAACCCTAACAAAATGAAATTTTGCATATACTAGTAAAAACATACACACAATCAATTCAACCAAATAGCAAAACAAGTGAAAAAAGAGCTAGAAAAACAACGTACATTCGCGGTATAAGTGAAGTTAGTAGCAGTTGCTGATGCTCTTTGTGGTGGCATCATTTGTGAAGCGGCATTGCCAGAAACCTCGAACGCCGCAGCCGGAGGACGCACCGGTACCGGCTGCGAAGGTTGCAACGCCCCGGGCGGTAGCGAGTTGTTGTTGACAACTTCTGAATACCCCATTAATCAACAAAATAATTGAGCTGAAAATATGATGAAATTAACAATCAAAAATTTGAAATTTCAGTAGAAACATGATAGTGGCGAAGAACCCTTGAATCTAAAAATTAAATTGAGCTTGCCAATGTAAATTAAACCCTAAAAAAAGAAAATCAAACTATTTGAGCAATTAAACGATTATACCTGGCGAGTAAATGAGTTAAAATTCTGGAAAAGTTTGAATTTGTAGCCCTAAATTATTTGTTCTTAGTTGATTCTCAATTTGGGGGAAAGAGGAGATGCCCTTTGCTTATTTGTGTTTGTGTTTGTGTTTTACGGTTACTTCCGAGGTCCATTGGTCCGTTTAGTTTACTTTATTTTTACTTATTTTTAAAAAAAAAATAAGTTCAGATGAGATCAGAAAAAAAATAAGTTCTGATCTGATCATATTAGAAATAATATTGTTTTATTTGCACTTTTTTATCGCTAAATATCTTTAATTTCGTAATGAAACAATTGTGAAAAACACATATTAATAAAATACAAATTATTACGAATCTAACAAGACTCCACTTGATATATTTTTTCCGTATAGATTATTGTATATTTAAGGTCAAAGTTTGATCAAATCTGATTAGACCAGACCAAATCATATCAGATAAGTTCTGATGAGCAAAATTAAGGCGAACCAAACAAAGCCTAATTTGTAAATTACTCTTTATGTTTTGATTTGATTTTCACGAGTTCTACACATTTATATCCACGTGCTTAAGGTTAAAACTTTGGTCATGTTTGGGGATACTAATCAAGCTGCGCAACTCAAACTCGGTCAAAACTTGGCTTGATTTGGCTCAAGTCGAGATGTTAACGAGTACAAGTTTGAGCAATTCGATAATAATTTTTATTAATATATACTACCTCCATTTTTTTAAGTAGACACGTATTCCTTTTTAGAAAGTTTTTTTAGTTGACACGTTTTCTTTTGGGGCAAGTTTTTTACCTTACATTTTCAAGCTACCCCACTTACTTTATGATTCTCTATCACTATCTCCTCTCTCCTTAATATATGTGCCTAAATCAAACGCGTCAACTAAATAGAAACGAAGGATGTAATTTACAAACAAAGTTACCATGTATAAAATAAATTTGATATTTAATTAAAATTAATTGGTATTATCATAAAATAAATAGTAAATCTTTAATAATATAAACACAAAAAAATGAAAACTATATAATGTGAAAAAAAAGGCATATAATTTTAGAAGGCTTAAAACCTTAACAAGCATATCATAAGCTACTCGACTCGAAACTTTAACTAGCACGAGTCGAGCGGGTTTTATTGACTCTAAAATTTAGCGAGCACGAGTTGAGCACAAGTAAAAAATTTTTAGGTCAAGTCAAGCACCCCTTAGCTCGTGATTGACTCGCTCGATTGACACCCTTAGTCGTGTTTTTGCTAATGGATACAGGTCAACACATGTAAAATGTTATAATAATGAGTAAAATGGATGAGTATTCTACTTGTCTTTCGAGGGATTTCAAATCATTATCATGTAGACTCAAAGTATGTTAGTCTTCCATATTATGATTTCATCAATCTCAACAATAGAGTTTTGATAAAACGATTGAATATAATGTGTTAATCAAATAGTCAATTGGAATATGATGTGGTGAATTTTATGCATACCTTAAGTTACATAGTAATTATTCCTTCTAGTTTACTTGTAATATAAATTGTATAATGTTATATAATAGTTGATTAGGTAAAAATTATAAAGTAAAATAATTTATATTGCTAGAGATGATGAAATATAAATACTTGTATGTGAGTAGTGGTAAATGTCAAATTGTTATGAGTACAATTGAATGAGAACTGTATGATTTTTGGGATACTGACCTCATGTCATTGTTTTGTGAGTCCAACATGGCACTAGGAAGTACATATTTACTTTTCTTAAAAAAAAAAAGTAAGTTATTGCCATTTTTTATATGAAAAGTGACGCAATCAAGTTGTGTAATTAGCAATATTACGTGTATATACTTATTAATTTCAAATAGTCAATGACTGGTTGCAACTTTAAGATACTCTCCAATCCCTTAATCTTTACACCATTAGATCTCACGTGGAAGTCTTACCTTTTTTTTATATATTTTTATTTTAAGTGACACATTAGTTTGCATGCGGAGTTTTAGGATAATTCTATACGATAATCACTTTTTTTTTTTAGTGACACACTAGTTTTTCCTTCAAAAAAAATAAAAAAGGTGACACACTAATTTGCATGCGGAGTTTTAGGATAATTCTATACGGTAATCACTCATCTTTCTACCTTAAATCACTACGACCCCAGTTAGTTCCCTTTTCTTTTTCTATCTCTCTCAAGTTATCTCTTTTCCTTGTCAATTGACGAGAAAGTCCATGCTCATAATTACTATTACAAGTGTGTGTTGGTTCAATTATACCTTGTTGGTATAGTAATTTTACAAACATAAAGTCTAAAAACACCAACAATCTTGTTGGCATATTTAGACCTCATAATGGTATAGTAATTGTACCAACATAAAATCTAAAAATACCAACAGAACTTTATTATTGTCATTGAAGACATGAACAATTATTGATTCAGACTACCTTTAGACAAGCTAATGGTGTTTAGCTTTGAAAAGTAGTAGGTTGTGAGGACATTGAAATTTTGAAGTATTGGTGATGTTTTGTGATGGGTGTGTACTGTGTTGGTTTTGACTTGGGTGTGTTGTGAAGTGATGTGGTGTAGGCTAAGAGGTGCAACAATGGAAAATTAGCAAGTTGAAGTTGTTGTGTGGTGATGCGTGAGTGAGTGATTGTTCTTGGCGTTGTGATGATAGGAAGGGGATGCATAGTAATTTGAGAGGTGAGGAGTTGTTGTAAGTTTGGCAACATGTAGCCAGGGCCGTTTCTGAGATTTTGGAGGCCTATGGGTGAACTAATGTATTGGAGCCCTATTTTAATTATATGTATCTAATTCTCAAATTTTATTACCATAAAGTAATTTTTTTTTTTAAAAAAAAGTAACCACTCTAATAACATCCATTTCCACGAACATTCTGCCAGTGGGAAATTCTCCTTTGTTTTTTTTTCGGGTAGTAAACGACTAAACAATGACCATCTTAGCTTGCAAGTCGTTGTATGGTTGAAAAAATATAGTCTGTCTTTGAATTGGGAAATATACTTCATACAACTGACGTGACAACTTTTGGTCGACTTTTTTTTTTTCTCTCATCTCTCGACCTAGTTTTTTTACTTGGAAAATGTAGCCATGTAGGAATTATTACTTTCAAAGTTTGAATAAAAAATTTACATTTAGCTAGCTCGCTATTTTAGAAAGGAAAAAAAAATCATATAGTCCAACTATATATACTATAGTATAAATAATATTTTATATGTAGTAATAGCTAAAAACAATATTCATTAATGCTTACCAGCAAGACAAATGTTAAAAACATAGAATAGATTGCATTTAATTTGATTATAACAAATTTTTGGGCTTCTATTTGGGGCCCTGGCAGCTGCCCCGGCTGCCCTGGCTTAGATACGGGCCTGCATGTAGCTTGTTCTAGTGGAAACCTCAAAAAGTATATTATTTTTGACAATTTTTCCAACTATTTTTTGCTAAACATTAATTATTTTTATTGAACTTATACATTTTTGTTGAGCTGTAATTAATTTTGTTAAATTTGAATTATTTTTAATGATTAAAAATTAATCTTACTGATTCGTTGTTGTATTTGTGCTTTATAATTATGAATTTATAGATGAAAACTTATTACTACCTCCGATTTTTTTTTTAGTTGCAACTTTGGATATTTTATATCTCTCAAATAATACCCCAAAGTTGCAACTAAAAAAAAAATCGAAGGTAGTATTATTGAATATTTTTGTTGATTTTGACTTATAGGGACTATATTGACAAGAAATAGACATAAAGGTACAATGAGATTTCTTATTTATGGATAAGATTATTATTATTATTAAGTGAAATGAAACTTTTATTTAGAGATAAATAGATTATATAAGTACAACTGTTTGACCTTTTAATTAAAGTAAATTCATCAACAACGATCTCACCTTATTGCATACCAAACAAGTATCAACATTTGTAAATTTCATACACTAAAGATGTATCATGCCATTTGTATCAATAATACTTAACTTTCTATTTTTATTCCACACTCATTAAACTTCATAATTTTTAAAAGGGTAAAGAAGAATACTTTAACTATTGCAATTTAGATACTTGGTAAAGAGATCCACACCACCATTCACAATTGTTTGATTACCAAATCTCCACAGTCTAAACTAGAGCGTGTTTTTTTTTACTTAAACTTAATATATAGCTCTTTAATTTTCAGGTTGATTAAATATGATACTTATTTTTGTAAGACGAATATAACACACTCTAAAATTATCAAACCTCACAATGTAAGTTACAAGTCTTACAAAACGAGTTAATCATACCTTTGATTGGTAACCATAGAATTTGCATTCTGGACTAGTTGACTCTTGAGTGGAGGGGGAAACCTAATTGAAAATATTGACATGCACAAATATAGACCATAACTTTTGTCCAAAAAAAAAAAAACCATAAAGAGAGAAAAAAAGAAAAGAAAAACACCAACTAGAATAACGCCGACCCACGTGTAAAACCTTCCAAAAATCACACCAAAATACAAAATCAATTTTATTTTAGCAACCAAATAAATTTAAATAAAAATTACATAAATAAAAAAAATTATTATCCCAACTTTCCCACATTTGAGGCTTCAACCTCTTCTTGTGATTTCCACCTTTTCCCCACCACTTTCCAGTTTCCACCCTTTTCTCAAACACCCATTTGCTATACTTTCATTGGCATGCCGAATTGCTGTCCAATTGAGGTTTGCTTTGATTTATTTCTTGCATTCAAGCTTAAATTTTGAATCTTGTTTTCTGGGTTTTGGTGGGTTTTTCTTGGTTTTCTGAGATTTATAGTTTTCTGGGGTCTGTTAATTGTTCACCAATTAGTATTTAATTTGATAGAATTCATGTTTACTTATGCAATTGATGTTACTTTATGTGCCCATATCAAAATTAGGGCAACCCATTTGCAATTTATCATAAATGGTTTTGCTCTCTGCTTGTGCAAGCTCTGATTTTTCCCAAATTACCCGGGTTCCATTCCCGGTTTGCCCATGTAAAATCGGTCCGAGACGGGCGGTTTGTTTGAATGGAAGTTGGGATTGTGGTTTTTATTTGTTAGGGTTTCATAGAAGTAAGAGGAGGAGGTGTTTTGGGGAGAATTTGCATAAGAATGTGAGTAGGAATTGGGTTTTTAGAGCTTGTGCTGTTTCTAGTGATGGTGGGGGTACTAACTTTAATGTAGATATAGCTAATTCTGCTAGGAGAGGTGCTAAAAGTATTGTTCTAAGTCGGTTTTCGGATGGATTCGACAATGATGATGATGCTAGTAGGGATTTGTCACAAGAATCTATTCAATTGGGCTCGGGTTTTAACAATTTTCAGCAAGACCCGATTGTGGATAAGCTTAGGACACAACTAGGAGTGATACATCCTATCCCATCGCCTCCGATAAACCGTACTGTTTTCAGCTTGTTTGTGTTCTTCTTCTTTGTTGGGGTTGTTTTTGACAAAGTATGGACACGGTTAAAGAGGAAAAAGTCGGATGCTCAGCTTGCTTTGTGGCGGCAAACACCCTTGACTGGTTCGATGTTTTTTGAGAAGGATTTGCAGAGGAAGGAATCGGTGGAATGGGTGAACATGGTGCTAGGAAAGTTGTGGCAGGTTTACAGACCTGGTCTTGAAAATTGGATTATTGGTCTGCTTCAACCTGTTATTGATAATATAGAAAAACCAGATTATGTAGAGCGAGTGGAGGTGAAGCAGTTCTCGTTGGGAGATGAGCCCCTGTCTGTTAGAAGTGTGGAACGCAGGACTTCTCGCCGTGTGAATGATTTACAGTAAGTAATCTTAGCTTTAGCAATGTTTTTATGTTTTCTGCTTGTTACCATCTATCACTTCTGTTGTTACAGTCTTTAACTCTTATTCTGATAGAAGTTGGAGGGGAGAGAAAAAAGGTTGACATTGATATTATTGAGATGTTTTTCAAATTTGACTTTTACCTTTAAGAATGCCTGCTACAGTGTTGTTTATTATTGAGTCTTTAATCTAGTTTTGCAGTTTTGCTGATGAATCATCATTAACTTGTTGGCATGTTGCTTTTCACGTTCCCAATTTTGAATGTGTGTCGCAGCACCACATAATAATTTACCTGATAACACCCTTATCCCACTCCACCTCCACCCCCCAAATAAATAAAATGAGTAAATTGAAAATAACTTGGATTAGAGTGAATGAGAAGACTATTGTTCAGCTCTTTTGCCTAACTATTACCTTGTCATGCTGGTATGTTAAGAGGAAATAGTGTAAGGGCCTGTTCTCATACGTTGAAATTCAATTCAGTTCAGCTGTTGAGCTCAGCTCCTAATTTCCTTCTCTTATAAAATATTCATTTCAATTCAGCTCACGTCAGCTCACAGCTGAGTTCAGTCAATGAGAACATGCTCTAATACATACTTCCTTTGTTCTTTTTTTAATGACAAAATGTAGAATTTTGCACTTTTCATACATACTCATTTGACCTACATTTGTGATATATACCTTAGGTAAAATATAGTCATGTGGGATCTTTTTATATTCATCTCACTTCATACTATTTAAATATCAATTTTTTTTATAATCTTTAGAAAATGATAATTAGAGATATTGATGATATAAAAAGTGCATTGGCGAGCATGGAAGATGGAACTCCTAACGTTGCAATTATAACAAATGGAGTAAGTATGTCCGCGTATATTCCCGGAATTCATAAATATTTGCTGCGAAAACAAACTGTGTCACTGTACATTGGACTTTCTTACAGTCATTTGTGCGCTAGTAGATTTGAGCATTATAGCTAGGTTTTGGCTGGGTATTTGAGTTTTTTAAAATTGTTTTACAATTTTAGGCTTAGCTATAAGTGTACGCCCTCCCTCCTCTTATTAAGGGTTGCTGCTTCAGGATATGGGATGGTGACATGAGTTCTTACACCAATTATTATTGCTTTTAAATATGTAAATCTAGCCTAATTATTGGGTTGGTTGTGCATTACATTTTTGATAGGAAAATATAGGCGGAATTAAGGAATTGTTATTTAGGTTTCATAGAAGTTTTATTTTATTTTTGTTTGAGTGTGTTAGCAAGTTTTGGGTGCGATGGTTGACATCAAGATTGTTTTTTTTTTTTTTAAATATTTGTTTTTGATTTTTTTCTGAAGGGTCTTTTCATGGATTCTTGTGAATTGGTAACTTTTTTGAAACCTTATAGATATTTATAACATTGCTCACTTAGCATTTCTGTATATCCTCTGATTCTATATAGGTACCAGATAGGACTTCGTTACACTGGCGGTGCTCGTATGCTCTTAATGCTCTCTTTGAAATTTGGTATTCTTCCCATTATGGTGCCAGTTGGTGTTCGGGATTTTGATATTGATGGGGAACTTTGGGTGAAACTTAGGTTAATACCCACAGAGCCTTGGGTTGGAGCTGTTTCATGGGCCTTTGTTGACCTTCCAAAAATAGCGTTTGAACTGTCACCATTTCGCTTGTTCAATTTAATGGGTAAGTCAATTGTGATCTGTGCTATTTTCCAACCAAGCCTAAGTTTGTCTCTTATTGGATGGGTTACTTTATGTGCTGCTAGAATAGGTTTTGGCTCAAAACGCTTGATTTTTATATTTGTGAGATGGTTCATCCATTACTCATTTGTTTTCTTTAGTTGTCATCTTTAATTTTGCACTTTCAAAAGTTGACCTTTCACTGCAATTTCTCTTCAAAGATGTCAACAAAAAGTATTAAGATTATGTTTGTAGATTTGTGCAAATTGTTTCTTTTTAATTTTTTTTTTAATATTACCTGTCTCGTATTATTGTTGACATTTTTACTTTTCATTGGTTGTGCTTTTTTGGGAATATTAATTTTATGGTATGTTCACACTAGTATAATCCTTTCTTCTTAATAAGAGCGCAAAAATATGTGTTAACATTTAAATTATATGTTGGGAGTAATTTATTTTATTCATTTTCTGTTGACATTAATGATTGTTAACATGATGGACAATCCCAAGCGATGTTAATTTTTGTGCTTATGTTGATACATTAAACTAGAGTTGCCAAATACTAACATTCTTATTTCTCTTGTCTGGACACATGGGGTGATACCAGCAATACCTGTCCTTTCAACGTAAGTATGAAACCTTATTTTTTTTTTTATCAATTTTGCTTGTAGGTTATTGAATCTTGATTCAACTCATTATGCCACCTCCCTTGCCTTTTCTTAACTCTTTATTTTATACTTTCTCATTCATAGTGCTTGTCAGTATTATTTCCATTTTTTGTATTTCACTGTTCATTTTGACTCTATTTTGAAACACACCTGATTCACAGTGTTTTCTCATATTGAAACACACCTCTTTGACTTTCTTTTATGATTTCTACATTAGGAATAATATAGTCATGTGGCTTGTCCCAATTGGAATTCTTAAGTTTGGATGAGGAAGGTGTGTTTAAAGACTTTGTAGTAATAGAATTGTGCGTTGCCGAGCATGAAAGTAAAACTCAGAGGGAATATTATTGTTGGACTCCGCAAAAGCACATAGTGCTAGACCTTTTTCTTTGGTTATTCTCTATCTGGTACATAATATTAATAGAGTATTTTTACGTTGGAATTAGTTGAGGTGTAAGATATAGAGAAAACTGTATAGCGATATGGGTATTGTTAAATAGTATGTCCTCAGTTCTTTTGATTCAACGTGGAGGGGATGCAAGGTATTTTAGGAGAGGAGAGAGATAAAATGAATGACCCATGTGATTAGGAGAAAGATAGAGAGCATCATTGATCAGATATAGTAAAGGAATACAATTTGATTAAAAGAGAACAGAGGAAGTCCGAACTAATTCCAATATTTGATTACTCTACTTTTATTATTGACCGTCTTAATCTTGTAATACTCTTAGAGTAATCACATAGTGATTAATCTTGTAATACTAAAAGAGTAAGCACATAATGCTCTTACAGCATTTTGTTATATTGTTTTGCATAAGACAACCATAATGTGCATTCTTAAGGTTGTGAGCCCTTACTCTCTTCCCATATAGGGGACTATCCATCCTCCCATTCATTTTTTCTTTTAAATTTCCACCCACTTCTCTAGATTGCTAGATGTTTCTAGCACAAATCTATTGTCTGCTGCTAGCCTGCTTTCTATATATTCCTTTTAGTTAAATTAGATATTCTTTTTCATTTTTCTTAGATCAAATGTCTATCAAGTAATTTGTTTGTTATCAAGAATCACATCCTATCTTATTGACTTAGTAAACACTCTAGCTTGATACATGTTATATTCCAATCATGGCAAGGAAGAATTCCTTTTTTTACCCTTATCACCAGATGGGTCCACTCATACTATTTAACAATGCTCATGTCTCTAAACAGCTTTCTCTCTATGGTTAGTTTCCTTAATTCTCATTATATGTGCTGTATAACTTAATAACTAAATCAAACACTTTTATTATATTGTTATTTTGTATTAATATATTTGTATTGAATCTTCAGTCATAATTATAAAAGCTATGCGATATGCTGTTTCTTTTGAGTATCTCTCTGCCTCAATTTGGCTCTGCACTCTAATTGTTTGTAACCTTTGCACTACTTTCTGTCAACAGCTTCTTGATAAAACTGTTAACTGAAGATTTACCAAGACTCTTTGTCCGCCCAAAGAAGATTGTTTTAGATTTTCAAAAGGGGGAAGCTGTTGGGCCTGTGCCTACAGATTTGAAATCTGGAGATGCTCAAGAAAAAAATAAAGATTCTGTTGGCGAGCTGTCAGTGACTCTTGTTGATGCTCGTGATCTCTCATATGTTTTATATGGTATGATATCCTCCTTTTTTTTTGGTACTAGTGATTTATTTGTCTCATAGTTTATGCATAATGCTAAACTTCAGAACTTGTTTCTTATTAATTCATTGGATTGAATATTACATGAATTTTGTTCTATTGGTTTTTGTCTGCTTTGCAAAAGAGTTTATCTTTTCTATACAAACAATTCAGGTAAGACGGATCCATATGTTATTTTACGGCTGGGAGATCAAATAATACGCAGTAAGAAGAATAGTCAAACCACTGTTATTGGACCACCTGGTGAACCAATTTGGAACCAAGACTTCAATATGCTTGTTGCTGATCCTCAAAAACAGAAATTGTATGTTGAAGTTGTGGATTCTCTTGGCTTTGCATATATGACAACTGGTACTGGAGAGGTAGCTCTCTTGTTCTTCTAAAGGTTTCTTTGTATTTGAAATTATTTTTCCTTTTTTTTTTGGTAAAATTTAAAGAATTGGAAAAATTTTCGCTTCATCATTATATTTAAGTGCCTTGGAATAATTTATTAGGTTATAGTCAAAGAGAAATTTTAAAGAGGCTCAAAAGTCAAAACATTTGAAGTGACTTAATTACGAATGTAAGAACTTCCTTGTTTGCGAATATGTAAGCAGTATGATAGTATCAATACCTAAAATATGTATAACGACTTAATACTGGGTAGTAGCAGATGATGTGGTAACATAATGGTCTATACTCTACAGTGAATGTCACTTTGTGCTTTTAAATGACCACGAAATGACGAAGTTGAACATCTTTTGCAAATTGACCTTTGTGTAATCGAACATGCTTTGCGAAACAGTTGTCGTCTGCATTGAACCCCTGGTTTGACTAATTCATTCAATGTTGATGTAGTTCATGAATGTATTTTGTTGTTTTTAACTTTTGAGTGATCAAATCTATCGTACAATACACAGATTAGGACTCAACGACCCATTCCATCTTGTGATTATATAGTTTTGATCAATATCATGATCTACTGGATACAACTAGGCATTTTCGTGTATTGGAGTCCTACAATCAGCTTCATAAGTCACTTAAGCAGTTAAGCTTGTCTTTAGTGGGTTCTGGACAACTGGTGTATATGTACATGTATGGTATTAGGCTATTAGCTTTGAATGAATCATTAAATCATTTTTCTTGCTTTTCCTGAATGTAGAAGATACGAAAAAGGCTTTGCTTAGATTTTATTTTCTATGAGAGAAAATTTGAGAGATTACAAGCACCTGGTAAAAGATGTAAGCTTGTATTTTTCTATAGAAGCTTATGATTTATGTGAGGTTATAGTCCAAAATTTTAACTTAGATTAATATTTTTCATAGCTGTTTCAGCACAGACCAGTCGTCAAGGATGGGTTGCCTTGCTCCCTCATAGAACTTATTAATAAAGAATGTCCTGATGCCATTGGAGGGGCCAACCAATTAGCATCAGGAGTGTTTCTGCCATCGTTTCATAGTTAATCCATAGAAACATTGACGTACTTTTGGAATCCTGATTCATTGTAAGGACCACAAGTCTGTCATATTTTGCTTGATATTCTTCCTTCCATAACCCTTTCTGAGTAAACCTATATTTCCAATTCCCCACATAACCCTAGATGCCCCTAATTAATGTAGATTCCCCTAGCAATTTCTGCTATCACATCCCTCTCTCTGTTATTCATACTATCTCTGAGAAAATGAGGCTGTGAACTTTCTTTCCTTTTTTTTAGGCTGTGAACTTGTTTGAGTGCTTTTCCTTGTTATAAAATTTTGTGAAAATTCTCTCTTTGTGATGTTTCCTAAAAAAAAAGACACTTCCTCTTCACTAGTTGAGGTAGGATTATAATTATACTTGGTCTGGTCTCCACCCTCCTCATTTCGTGTTTTTGTTTTTGTTTTTGTTTTTTTTTTTATTTTTTTTATTTTTAAATTCATATACTTCCTCTGTTTTCATTTATTTGCAACATCGCGCGCTTTTTAAGGAGGCGATTAAAGTTGGTAAATGATTGAATCTATCAAGATAATTTTAACAATGGAAATAGGGAAGAGTTAGGTACTACATGTGTAAATTGTTTCGATTAATTGGTCCGCTTACATCATCTATTCTCTTCCTCAAAGTGTGTGTCATGAAGGTTTGTTGCAAATAAAAGAAAACAGAGGAAGTATTAATCTCTTGCCTTTTACAAGAGAAGAAAAGTATTTTTCAATTATCGACACCTTTGTGGTGGAATTCTTATCCAAATATGATGGCGTTCCTTTTCCTCCTCATGTGCTTGAGTCATTGAGTGTGTATGCATGTGCTTGCGCATGGAGTTTTTTTTATTAACACTGACGGAATGGCCCAGAATATGGTGGGTTTATGATTTATTGCTGATACTGGGGCCGGATCTCAGGTTGATTTAAGTACTCTCCAAGACACAGTTCCAACAGACAAGATTGTTGTCTTGACTGGAGGTTGGAATTTGTTTAGAAAGAGAAAATGTGGTGAATTACTTCTCCGGCTGACGTATAAAGCATATGTGGAAGATGAAGAGGACGAGGGGACAAAAGCACAAGCAGCTAGCTCAATAATTTCAGATGATGATGGCTCTGATGCTGATGAGCCTGGTCTTAATTACAAGCAAATGTCCATGGGAGATAAAGAATCATTTATGGATGTTCTTGCCGCTCTAATTGTCAGCGAGGAATTTCAAGGAATAGTAACTTCTGAAACTGGAAATACTAAAGTTGGGGATGATGTTACTAATATAGGCTCTACCTCTCCAAAGTCTCAAGGCATTGCAGCTGAATCCGTTCCTTCTGGGGTGGATGGTGCAGCAGAAAATTCTAAAGGTAAGAATATATCTAGTGGGAAAAAGTTCATTTCTCTGGTATTTTTATCTAATCACTAAGGACTTGGCAATTGCAGGATCTGCGCTATTTTGGCTGGCTGTGATTACCAGTGTTGCAGTTGTAATTGCTCTGAATGTTGGCGGTTCAAGTATCTTTAATCCTTGATTTTTCCCAAGACGGCAATTCCCAAATTTTGGATTTTCATGAAGGTTAGTGATATCCAAATTAATCCTGGCTGAAGATGCTAAATTCAAGTTCATTTTCCTTCTACTACTGCTATGAAAAATGACATACTACTAAAAATATGAATTATGATGAGTTGTTCATGAGAAACACGTCTTATGGATAAGCATAACTAAATGAACTCTCATGATAATATCAAATGTGTCTTGATCATGATTCGTGAATATGCTGCTTATCATTTTGTATTTCTGTATCGTATTAAGTGTGTTAGGTTTCTGAATGGAAAGAACTGATATTGGCAGGCAGCAGCGTTCTTTAAAGGAGCAGATGGTGATTTCTTTTGTATACTGTCTGCTGAGTCGTTAATTATGCAAATTGATGTAATTCCAGTGAGTTAATAATTCCTTAGTCTCTCGTCATATAATAATTCTTTGTTTGGGGAATTTTGTGGCCTATCCCCTTGATCGGCGTTCAAATTGTAAATCCTAACTCCATCTCTCTCCTTTCTTTCTTGTAACTAAACTTTGGCTGCTACTTGTATAATTTAAACCACAGGTAGGTCAAATTGAAGACACTCCTATGATTTTTCATTCTATGGTGTAGATTGAATTGGTAGATTGTCAAGTTTAAATAATTTTCAGAATAAAGTATTTTTGAAAAGTACTTAGTAGATTTGAAATCGCAGTATTATTTGGGATTGGAGGGCGAATGGCGACGGATGCATCAGACTAAGAGGATGCATATGTTTTAGACTAGAACATCTTATTTTAAGTGTACAAATTTGAAATTGCTTTACAAATTGAATTTAGGTTTTCCAAATAAGAATCCAGAAAAATCATTTTAAGGAAAAGTTAAGAGAGGGATTATAAACAAAGTAATTCAAATCTCAAAATCATAAGCTATACATCTTTTTCTGTTTATCCCTTCTGATCTTTTTTCTTATATATTTCGTGCTCTTACCGTGCAATTGGTCTTGTATGGACCCGGTTTACAATAAATTATTGTAGACCCAAAATTTGACACTTTCAAATAATATAATCACATTCTGGATGATATAATCACTTTTTTAGATGATATAATTATCTTTTTGTGAGTCATATTTTGATCTCATATTAAACCATTTAATGAGATTATATAATTATCTTTAGGATGATAAAATTTAAAAATCATCTTTTGAATGATGTAATTTACTATTTGATACTTTTTATAATGATAAATTCACTTTTTGAGTGATACATTTACATAATAGTTTCAAGATGATATAATCACTTTTGTAATAATATAATCACATTTCGTATGATATAATTACATTCGTATAGTAAACTAGAAGGTTGGGTCTACAATAAGTTACTGTAGACCGGGTCTATTCTAGTCTTATAGCATTACCATACTTTATTGATTCTCACTTTTATTAGAACTTCATTGCCACACTGTAAGATTAATCGCTAGTAACGTTACATCTTAATTTCAACAACTTATAAATAAATAAATAAATATATATATAAAAAAAAACCGCTAGTATAAATCATGCCTTGGATTAGGGTTCAACGTATACTTCATATCGTAATAACATATTGACATTGCTATAATGTACTACGACTCTACGAGTATTATAATTTCTGTAAAAAAAAAAAAAAGTTTCAGGTATGTATGTGAGTCTAGAAATCTAAAGTGAAGTCCTCAAGTTGGACGAAGTCAAATAAACACTTGAGAGTTGAGAATAATGAGTTGAGATTGCTACGCAATATACATTCTTCAATAGAGGTGTCCACACCCAATCCGAAATCATCGAAAAATATCCGATTCAGATTTGGACTCGCGTCGACATAATAGTTTAGTATGACTTAACTTTAAAAATTTAACCGACCCGACCATATCAGACCCGATCCGATTATCCGAATTAACACCCCTACTCTTCAACCAATCATTCAATTGATAATTAATAGAGTAACTAGTTAACTACTTATATAGTTATACGTGCACGTTGCGAGAGTGCTATAGAATATTCTGATATACTCACTCTAAAGTGTTTAGTTAAATGATTATTGCTTTTCAACTTAAAAAAAAAAAACAATGATTAGTGCTACATCCTTGAATTATTATACTAACTAATCTATAATTTGATGTGTCCATTGTCCGAGCAGCTGGAATACGGTCGTGAACTGGAGCATACCTCTACCTATTCGGTAACATAGTTACATAAACAACAAATTAGAAGTGACAATTGAGTTGTTTGGATTTGATTGACTTTTTCGAGTTTAAGTTAGCTTATAATCGAGAAATCAGCTAAATTTAATCTAATTAGATTGAGAATTTTCTTTGGTGTTTTGAGAACCATACAGGCGGGGTGTGAGAACCGATCTCAGTATCACCTAAAATCGGGAAGAAAATTCTAAGTACTTGAGATATCTCTCGCTCTCTCTTAAATTCATGCAACTATGCTTGATGTAATAATATTACCTTTTAAAATCTTTATGTACCTGATGGCACATAAATCCGCACATTGCTATAGTTTTTTTTTTTCCCTGGTTTTCCAACCACCTCCAAATTAAAAACATCACTTTCCCTTCATATACATCTTTCACGTTGCCAAAATATAAGAAGTCCAACCAAAATTTAATGACGCGCACCTAATTAGTAGTTATATTAGACTCCGTACTTCATTTAATCCTTTATATGTTGTACGATTTGGGAATTGGGGATACTCAATTTGAAAAAAGAAAATTTTTGATCATGAATATTTATCCGACGAGCACAAGTGTGATCCTTTAAGAATTCTTTATAATGTATTTTAATATCTATAGGTTAGAAATATTGTTTTTTCATAGGTTAAGATATTACATAATCAAATATACTTCTCTAAAAGATGTGGGATGAAAATTGCAAAAGGTCTCATATATTCCTTTGTTCTATACTTCTATACACTCACATTAGGCGATAGTGTTATCGATTGTTAAAACTCGTATGAATAAATAATGTCATATAATTTCCCCTAGTTAACGGATCGATATTATCATGATTAGCACTAAGCTAGAAAATCTCTTAAGATCGTGTAATGTACGTTCTTAATTATTAATATGCACGATCATAATACATATATTTAATTATTGATTAAGATATAAACTGAATCAGGAGAATAAGTAGCTAAAAAAAAGTCAGTGATCAACTATAAAAATGAACGACTGAATGAGGTTGAGGAGTTCACGTTATCACGTGCCTTATCACTGCCAAGCTAGCTAGGCCACACCCACAGTTGGCCAATACCAAACGTGATAGCCAGCAAATCTCTCTTGTCTTTGCATCTACATTTCTCTTTCTTAAATAATATATTCTTTGTCCTCTTCATTCTTTCTTTATTAATTTATTATAGAGTAATAACGGCCGATTATTTTCAGTTAAGTTCAGTTAGCTCTAATAAGTTCAGACGTTCAGTTCAATTCAGTTCAACTCTAATAAGTTCAATTTAGTTCAGTTTATTTTATCTCTTAATTTCCTTCTCTTATAAAATATTCAGTTCAACTCTAATAAGTTCATTTCAGTTCAATTCAATTCAGCTCTAATAAGTTCAGTTCAGGTCAGCCAATCAGAACAGACCCTAAGGCCATATTTTTTGAGCTATTGAACAAAGCAGAGTAAATTTTAGCCGAATAAAGCAGGTGTTAGCAGAGTAAAATAGAACAAAATAACTTATTTAAACTCAGTAGAGCAGAACAGACCAGACAAGACCATAACATCGATCTCAAAAGAATAGAAGCTCATTTACATAAGAATCCGAGCATCATTTTAACATTTATTAGGTGAAAATGGATCATTTGATTCGATTCGAGTTTACTTTACGTTAAACAATTGGATCATTCAAATAAGGGTTTAAAAATTGTACGTAGTATAACTTTGTAGTATTGTTTATAGTATTGTTGCTACATCCGTGTCAAGAATCATTTTTATATTGTAATTTAGAATATATGTATATCATGTAAGTTAAAATATATTTTGTTTAGTAAAGTTCTCTTATAATGTGTTCAACTCCTTTGATTTGCCAAAGGACAAGAGATCTTTGGAGATAACAAACACTTTGTATGTAGTTAGACTGTTAGAGCAAGTTTAGCCCCAAGTCTTAAAATTTAGATGTGACATCATTTTTGGTGGTCTCCATTGAAAATAATGTCATCAAATTCTTTTTATGACTCACTAAGACTTACACAAATTTATCACTTAAGCCCTAAGACTTAAATATTTGACATATTATATGTAAAAATGAAAAAAAAATAATAAAAATAAAAGTGAGGTGGGTGAAGTGGGTCCCAATTTTAAGTCTTAACTCGAGTCTTGAAATTCCAAGACTCAACTTGAGAATTGCTTGAGATTTTTGAAGAAAAATGGGAAAAGTCTTAAGCATATGTCTTAAGATTCAAATTGATGATGTTAGGGCTAAACTTGCTCTTAGTCAGCAATATCATTAATTGGAAAGTATAGGGAACGATAAAGAAATCTAACCCACTTTGAAAGTGGTTAGTATCATTAGATCAAGTACTACTTAGTTATATTTACGCTATTTTTTTAATCATATAATAAGGTAAATATGTTATATCAAATCAAAACCTTACACAGATCAACCTAACTCATAAGATACGCAACTTTTATGGTTGGATTGTTATATTGACAATTTGACAGGAATAATGGGAGGTTTTATTATATATTTACATGAATACATATATTTGTACTTGCATGTGCCATGGTACTCGTAGACCAACATGAGTTGCATGGTCCCAAGATCGAGATCAGGCATCGCACGAGGATGGTGCAGCAGCTTGTGAAAAGTGTGAATATTCATACACACACATTCTGCGCTTGGAGTATCCCCTTTATCATGACTTGCTTTACCTATTTTTGTTAGCTTCATGGGTACAATGGATCATAATATTTTTGATATTCATAAACTATACATTGAAATTATTTTAACAAGTTTTTTGAAATTTTTTCTACAATCATGTACATTATGATACAACATAATGTACATTCCGCAACGGATGTACCATACGGATCGTGCATCCGCCTGTAGGAACCACCCATTGTTTTCCATATAACCAAATTATGTTTCATATTCTATAAAAAGCATAAGGCAATCCTTAATTTTTTTTTTGGATATTTGGATTGCATATCTGTTATCCAATATTTGAAATCAGATGTCCCAAAATCCATAAATTGATATCTAGAATATTTGGATTAGATAAGAATTTGATCTTCGAATAGTTGTGTTCATCCCTAACACACTATACAAACATAAAATACAACTATAGTAACTATATTAACATGGATCAAATAATCATATGTACTAGCATGAGCAATTTAGGGTTGTTTAATTTCGGATATCCGAAATTTTCGAATAAAAGAAATTGTGATCCAATACTTTTTAGATATCTAGATATGATCTGATTTTCGTATTGGACCACCGAATTTTCGGATCGGTTAGTTAAAATTTTTTCGGACAAAATATGATCTGTATCTGATTCGAAAACCCAAATTTATTTTCGGAGATCCGATCCAAAATATCCGAAATCTTAAATCCGAAATATCTGAAATTCCAGGTCTG